CATTGACAGCTTTATATTTCAGTATAGACCTTGAAATGTTCTTTTTGACGATGAGTGCAATGCCATTCCTCTTCACTTTGTCACTCCCACAATAGTAGACCATATGATTATCTGATTCATTATGGCCAATACCAGTCCTCCATTTCAGCTCACTAATGCCTAGGATATTGATTGTTATGTGTTCCATTTTATTTTTGATGGCTTCCAATTTTCCTAGATTCATGCTTCAAAAAGGCCACATTCCAATTGTTAATGGACGTTTGCAGCTGTTTCTTCCCATTTTGAGTCATGCCACATCAGCAAATAAGGTTACCAAAAGCTTTACCCATCCATGACATTAAGGTTGACTCTACTTTGCAGAGGAAGCTTGTCCCCGGTCATATGTTGATTGCCTTCCAACCTAGTAGGCTCATCTTCTGGCACAATATCTCACAATATTCCAATGTTATTCATAAGGTTTTCACTGGCCAATTTTCTCATTAGACCACCAGATTTTTCTTCCTAGCAGAGCTGCTATAGTGAATGGGAGAAATAATGATGTAAAAGAGCTGAACAGAAGATTTCAAAGGGTGGCACAAGAAAATAAATAAAGAATTATAATGAATTGTGCAAAGACCCAGAGTTAGAAAACCAACACGGAAGAAAACATTTGGCATTTCTCAAGCTGAAAGAACTGAAGAAAAAATTCAGGCCTTGAGTTGCAATATTGAAGGATTCTGTAGGCAAGATATTGAATGATGAAGGAAGTATCAAAAGATGATGGAAGGAATATACAGAGTCACTGTACCAAAAAAAATTGGTTGATGTTCAACCATTTCAGGAGGTATCATATGATGAAGAACTGATGGTACTGAAGGAAGAAGTCTAAGCTACACTGAAAGCATTGGAGAAAAACAAAGATCCAGGAATTGACAGAATACCAACTGAAATATTTCAGCAAAGTTATACAACACTGGAAGCACTCATTCATTTATGCCAAGTAATTTGGAAGACAGCTATCTTGCCAATTGACTCGAAGAGATTCATATTTGTGGCCATTCCCAGGAAAGATCATCCAATAGAACGTGGCAATTACCCAACAAAATCATTAATACCACACACGAGTCAAATTTTACTGAAGATCATTCAAAAGTGGTTGCAGCAGTACATCAAGAGATAACTGTTAGAGATCCGAGCCAGACTCAGAAAATGACATGGAAGCAAGGATATCACTGCTGACTTCAAAGGGACCTTGGCTGAAAGCTGAGAATACCAGAAAGACATTTACCTGTGTTTTATTGACTATGCAAAGGCATTCGACTGTGTGGATCATAACAAATTATGACTAACATTGTAAAGAATGAGAATTCCAGAACACTTAATTGTGCTCATGCAGACCAAGAGGTAGGTGTTCAAACAGAACAAGGGGATACTGTCTGTTTTAAAATGAGGAAATGTGTGCGTCAGGGTTGTATCCTTGCACCATACTTATTCAATCTGCACGCTAAGCAAATAATCCAAGAATCTGGACTATATGAAGAAGAACATGGCATCAGGATGGGAGGAAGACTCACAACCCGCAATACGCAGATGACACAACCTTACTTGCTGAAAGCAAAGAGGACATGAAGCACTTATTGATGATGATCAAAGGCTACAGCCTTCAGCATGGATTACACCTTAATAGAAAGAAAACAAAAATCCTTACAACTGGACCAATAAACCATGATAAACAGATACAGATTGAAGTTGTCAAGGATTTCATTTTACTTGGATCCACAATCAACGTCCCTGGAAACAGCAGTAAAGAAATCGAAAGATGTGTATTGCATTGGGCAAATCTGCCACAAAAGACCTCTTTAAAGTGTTAAAAAGCAAGAATGTCACTTGGAGGAATAATTTGGGCCTGACCCAAGCCATGGTATATTCAATCGTCTTATATGCATGTGAAAACTGGGCAATGAATAAGGAAGAATGAAGAAGAATTGATGCCTTTGAATCATGGTGTTGTTGAAGAATATTAAATATATCATGGACTGTCAGAAGAATGAACAAATCTGTCTTGGAAGTATTGCCAGAAGGCTCCTTAGACGTTAGGATGGTGAGATTTCATCTCATGTAATTTGGACATGTTATTAGGAAGCACTAATCCCTGGAGAAGAACACCATGCTTGATAAAGTAGATGGTCAGCAAAAAAGAGGAAGACCCTCAAGGAGATGGACTGACACAACGGCTGTAACAATGGGCTCAAACATAGCAACGATTTTGACAATGGCTGAGGACTGGACAGTATTTCGTTCTGTTGTCCAAAGGGTTGCTATGAGTGGGAACAGACTCAATGGCACCTAACAACAACAACAACTCTTCCTATATTTCCTAAAAATTACATTTGCTTTTATATTGTTGTGAATGTTTCATTCAGCCATTTTCAGTTGATAAAAGAAGTTTTATTATTGTAATGTAATACAACATGGTATAGTATAATATCACATCACACCACACAATATATTATTCTCTCTTTGAGACAAAAGGAAAATAAGTATAAAAATGTTGCTAGCACTGAAGTTGATGAACTGATTTTGTTTGTAACAGTTAATCCTGTTTCTCCATCCGCACATTAGAAGCATTTGAAAAGACTTAACCATCTCCCTACTGCTATTCTGATTTAACTGTTCTGTGGTGGAAGTCCATATTAGCATGTTTTAAAAGCTCTTCAGTTGATCCTAATGAGTGGCCAGGGTTTAAAACCATTCAGCTAGGTCAGTTCCTTAATAGTCCTGAGGCAGCTAATTCATTAAACTTCTTCAACCTTAGTTGTTGTTCTTATTTGTTTGTTTTATTTGGTTGTGCCATTTGTAAATAGTAAGTATTCATAACACAGTGTCTGAAGTTCCTTTTAGCACTAACATAGTATAATCAAGAAGTCATTGCTCTCTTCTACCACTTTTGGTCTTAAGTGTCATTTGCTTAATGAACTGATAACTATTTCTGTCATTAGGAGTTGTTAACTTTCTAGAATACCATCTTATGTACATGATGAGACAAATTATCATGTCTTCATTTAAAAGGCTAATTGTTAGTTTATTTCAACACTGCTTTAATGTAATAGTAGTCTTATAAGTGCAGTTGCTGTCAGTTAAATAAAATAAGCTAGTAGTTGAGAACAGACATATCGAATCTACTAATTTGCTGATTGTTGATCAACTTTAATGCAAAAATATCATTGCCTGTGGAGCATTCTTTAAAAAAACTAATTGAAGTACCACACAGTTTTAAGAATGTGAATCAATTTGCATGATCTAAGTCAAATAATATTCAAGATGTAATCAGAGAACAGAACACTGTGTTCATCAAAATAGATTCTGAAATAGAAACAGTCATTCTATAAAACAATAAAAATATACTTAATAAAATGTGTTAGAATTATATCCTTTCACGGCTTAAACCAGAAAACTAGTAGCCTTTGTTGACACCCTCATCACTTGCTCTCTATACATAATCCCTAAACAAGATCTTCCAGTGCGTATATTTTGAGTATATTCACTTTTAACAATCTCCATTGTCATACCCTAATTCAAGCTTCAATCACTTCACAGTATGAATATAACAGACTCCCTAGCCTGGCATCCATTTTTTTCCCCTGACCAATCTATCTCTCCACTTGGTCTTTTTTTGTTGTTCTTTTTTTTCTTTTTTTTTTTTAATATGTCAAAATCTGAAATAATTTTCTATAGCTTTTAGAAAAAAAAAGTCAAATTATTTAATCTGGCATTTCAGTTCCTGTATCCACCCCCAAAATCTTACTTTCACTCTTGATTTCAGGTCTCCAGCCTAGCCTTCAAAGGTTTCATACCCTTCTAATACAGTATCTTTATAATATATTTAATTTTCTCAGTTCAGAATGCCTTCTTCTCCAACTTTTCTTCCATTGCGTCATTTTCCACATGTCCATTCAAGAGTAACTTTCTCATGGAAATCTTTTCTGACATCCCAACTTGCTCTCCCAACTCCCCATCCTTCCCTCCTCCCTCTTATTTTTTTCTAAACTAGGTCCTTTGGTTTTGTTGTAAAGAAAAATTTGAACACTGTTTCAAGTTAAAATAGAGAGGTTTATTAAGGGTTTAGATCAATTGCAATTGGGGAACTACGTAGCCCATGGAAAATGGAGCCAGGTAGTCCTGGGGCAGTTTCATTATAAAAGTATTCTTACAGGGTAAAAAGAGGAACCAATCCATAGAGGAGTGCAATTACAGGAAAATCAATGAACATTGTAATAATTAGATTCTGATTGGTTACTGATTATTAATAGTATAGTTAATGATTACAGATAGTTTCACAGTATGCTTACATTATGATCACAAGTTGCTTACATGTATTTTCTTTGTCTATCTTGCAAAAATATCTTGTTGGCAACAGCACCCAGACAGCACTCTTCCTGAGTACGTTTATTTTAGGGGTGCAGATGGTAACTTGGTTAAGACCCCTCGGGGCATATGTTTTCACATCCTGGTTTTGACCACCAAGGAAAAACATGTTTTTCTCAAAAGCATAGCTGTTAGTCTAGAAATTTAGATTAAAATTAGATAGCACAGTCAGCATATTATTTCTCTGTCCCGCTGACTGCACTGAAAGTTGTATTCCTGAGACAGTTATAAAGTTTTCATTGCAAGTTATTCTTTGCCTTAGGAACACTGTATTTCAGTTCACAATTATATATTTATTATTGTAAAGATTTGTTTAATACTCCCACAGACACAATAAGCACATCAGTGAGAGTAGGAATTGCTCCGGGTTTCTTCACCCTTATATAACGTGCAACAAACAGAATTCCTGGGATATAGTAGGTTTTAAACATATATCTTTTAAAGGAACTAATCAGTGACTAAGACTATTAATTTCATTTTTATCTTGTGTTACGACAATAAAGTGTGTTTTTTAAGAATAGAAAATGAACACTTACCTTGGAAATTTTGAAATGATTCAGGTATATGAAAAAATTTGAAAAAAAAAAAAAAGTTACCTGTAAATCTTAACTGCCACACATATTCAAACTGATGAGGATCTTTCGTTTGGCAAATATTATGACAAGTGGTTCCATTATAGCAGAAGTTCCCATGAATTAAGTAAACATTCTCCACAAACCAACATGAATTCCCTGTGCACCCTGAAGTACATACATACTGGAAAAAGAAGTAATGAAAAATGACAGATACCTTGTTAAAATATGTTTCAATTTTTTTCTTATAAAATAGATAATTTCTAAACTCACCAATTAAAGAAAAGTTTCTTGGGATACACTTTTTACACCTCTCTTTGCTTGTTCTTTCTATTCCTTTACTTTCTCTTTCTGTACCATCTTTTATTGCATCCTTGCTCAAAATTCCTATGTGCTATTATTTTGGCTTTGACTCACTATTTGATCTACACAATCCCTTACTTTCTGTTAGTTTAAATTTAATATTTTTCCACAAATTAAAAATATCTATGGAATAAATTAAAGGACACACCAGTTAAAATCTTTGTAACTCAGCAGAATTAACACAGTGAATGCCAGGATACTGTTCAAATCTGTTTTTACTTATAACATTTGAAAATATTATAAGATAATGTGAGCATATTTTCTAATAATATGAGCTGTCTATGGTAATTCCCAGCATCTTCAAAGGCAGAAATCATGTCTTGTTATGCCCACGATTAAATTAATTAAATTTAAACCATTGTAAATCATGCTTCGGTCATCATTAAGTTTTAATACATGCTTCTCTTAATAGAATATTAGGAAGACATAAACCAGTAAGATAAATTTAAGCTCTGTAGAAAACCTAGAGCTCTGTGTTCTGTTTAGAGGACACCAAAAATTATCTCGACTACTCCAATTTTCCAATAAACAAATTCCTTGTGAAGTAGACAGGGGTAAGCATAGTTGAGTCATGGTATGAAAGAAATTCAATACATCTTTTAACGCAATTAGTACACTAAGTAGGCTTTGTTTTAGTTGTTTCAAGTCATGATGGTCTTCTACCTAGATTCTCAAATACAATCTCCTAATTGGAAAAAACAAAAAACCAGAAAAAAAAAAAAAACAAAAACAAAAACACAGATCTTAAGGAACTAGTCTCTCTATTAATTAGTAAACCATCATGTAACTAAATGAAGTCAAAACTGAAGATGAGAAATAATCTGAAAAATCACTGTCATTTAATTGTATTGAATGACTACCAAGAGGATACAATTCTATGATATGATGTTAAGTCTTGAGATCACTGATAGTTTTAACCCATCAATTTTATAAAAAGACAGAATTTTAAACACTACCAATGGCATTAATCAACCTTCACTGTCAGTGATCATTAGCTCTTACTGGATTTGTAATCTTCATTGCAATAGAAAATTTGAAGACCTATTAAATTCTGGTTCTATGACTGTAAAAAAAAAAAAAAAAAAAAAAACTTGTCAAAGTAGCATATTATCTATATTGATAGGATCCTGTAGAACCATATCTTCATCTTTAAAAAAAAAAAAAGTTTAAGCTAAGCAATCTCTTACTATTTTTGTTTTTTAAACTAATAATATCACGGGCAGCTGGACCACAGATGTACAATCCCCATTTCTGTCTGGTAAGTTCAGGAGTGAAGATGACATTTAGAAATAAGAATTCACTTCTGTTACTACTGGAAGATAAACTAGTAAGGAGCATGCCCCAACTAATGAGGAAAAATTCCTTGCAAATGACAGGAACGTCATGAATCCCTGCTCACAGGGCAGGAATGCTATAGTGCTCATCCTGCTAGTTTCAATATTGCTTAGAGACCAAATTAGACCCCCTGGCATTTTTCTAAATAAGAAACCAAAGTCTTCCACTGTAAGTTTCAAGGGAAGCAAGAACAATTTATCTATCATTAGACCCTTCCATCCTGAATAAGAACACTGGGAAGGTACTTTGATTTAGACAGAGGTTGTATTTTCAGGCAGTTAGTTGGGATGGAAAATTGGAGTTCTTATTATTTTCTTTTAAAACTTGTCCTCTGCCTTAACAACCTGAATGTTAGGAAAATTTATTTCATCAGACTAAATGTACATGTTAGGAAGGATTGTGATACAATTCTCTGACTCCAACCTCTCTTTTGTAACTCATGTTTGAATGAGAATGAACAAACACACACACACACACACTCACACACATTCACAGCAGCATCAAGAAATATATGTATAATAAAACCTTTAAAGTAGGTTAATAGAACACAAGTAGAGTAAGATAATGAAAGTAAGAGTGGAGGCTTTTGAACAAGTAAACAAAAATTTCATTTCCAAATAGCTATGAGCTTTCTAGCAGTTAAGGAAAAAGCAGGGGACATGAAAATGTAGCATAGCTCTTATTGTTTAGTTTTATTTTGATAGATGGATTTCAATTTATTCAGAGAGCCATATTTCAAGGCAATATTCATAAGAGAAAAACATTTGGAATAATTGTCATATGGGAGAGGATGTTAAAAATTGATCATTAATAATATTTTAAAGAAAATTATTAAACTGGCCATGTGTTATGGATTGAATTGTGTCCCCAAAAAATGTGCGTCAACTTGGCTAACCTATGATTCCCAGTTTTGTGTGATTTTCCACCATTTTTTCATCTGATGTGATTTTCCTATGTGTTGTAAATCCTACCTCTATGATGTTAATGGAGCCCTGGTGGCAAAGTGGTTAAGAGCTCCACTCCTAACCAAAAGGTTGGCAGTTTGAATCCACCAGCCACTCCTTGGAAACCCTATGGGGCAGTTCTACTCTGTCCTATAGGGTAGCAAGGAGTCAGAATGGACTCCAGGTGGTGGGTTTTTGTTTTTTATGGTGTTAATGAGGTAGGATTAGTGGAAGTTATGTTAATGAGTCAGGATTCAATCTACAAGATTAGGTTGTGTCTTAAATAAATCTCTGTTGAGATATAAAAGACAGAAGTGAGCAGAGAGACATGGGGACGTCACACCACCAAGAAAGCAGAGCCAGGAGCATGTTTGGTTTTTACATATTCCCTTAATTTCTGTTTATCTGGAAATGTCCTAATTTCACCATCATATTTGCATGAGAGTTTTGCAGGATATATTATTCTTGGCTGGCAATTTTTTTCTTCCAAGGTTTTCTATATGTCATTCCATTGCCTTCTTGCCTGCATGGTTTCTGCCGAATAATCTGACCTTAGTCTTATTATTTCTCCTCCGTATGTGACTTCTTGCTTTTCACGAGCTGCTCTTAGGATTCTTTGTTTGTCTTTTGTTTTGGCGAGTGTGATTATGATATGCTGTGGTAATTTTATTTTGGGGTCTATCCTGTATGGGGTTCGTTGAGCTTCTTGAATGGTCAGCTTTTCATCTTTCATGATATTGGGGAAGTTTTCTGTCAGCAGTTCTTCAATGATCCTCTCTTTGTTTTCTGCTTTTTCCCCTTGTTCTGGAACTTCAATCACTGGCAAATTTTTCCTTTTGATTGTATACCACATAACTCTCAGGGTCTCTTCATTTTTCTTTGTTCTTTTTTCTGAGTTTTCCTCAAACAGCATTGTATCCAAGTGTTTGTCTTCAATTCCGCTGATCCTGTCTTCCACCATTTCAAATCTGCTCCTCAGCCTTTTTATGACACTGTCCATTTCTGAAATCTTGTTATGTTTTGGATTTCTAATTGTTGTTTTTGTATAATTTCTTGTTGTGAATTTATTTTGGCATTTTGTTCCTGCATTAGTTTTCTGAATTCCAATTTTTTGTCTGTATTTTCTATGAATTTGTCTATTTTTTCCTAATTTTCATCTGCTTTTTGCTTCAACTCTTGGAGAATTCTGAGTATTAGAGATTTGAATTTCCTATCAGGTAGTTCTAGTGCCTTTTCTTCCACTGGCAAGTCATCTCATGTTTTATTTTGGACACGTACTAGAACCATACTGTCCTGTTTTTGTAAATGTTTTAATATTGTCTGCTGTCTTTGGGGCATTCGGCAGTTATTTTTCTCATTTATTGATTGTAGATTCATTTGTTTCATCCTTTGTTTTTTAATTTGGCTATTTCTGAGCAGGCGGGCTTTTGTCTTTGTTGTTTGCTCATCTGTGGGCACGATACTTTTCACCTCCTTTTCCAGTTGGCAGGGTCAGTTACTCAGATATGGTACAGCAGGGCAGATCTAGCTGAAGAGGAGTTACTGGGATGGGTTGTTTGTGGCACTTACTACAGCCTCCAGGGTGGGTCATTAATCAGTGCAGGGAAGGTTCCAGTAGGCCATGCCTGTGCTTCTTGGTGGTGTGATGTTAGGCGCATGGTGCAGGTAGGCAGGATGTAGGGGGGGCATTTTTATGTGTGGAGCTAAGATGGATATGGAAGAAAGGAGAGAGGAACAGGAGCCAAAAACTTACAAACAAGAAAGAGTGCTAGGGGAGCTTGCTGTTGGAGTGGAGAGATGAGAGACTACAAAATGGAGAAAAACAAAAAGGGGAAGAAGAAAAAAAAAAGAAAAAAAATGAATAAATAAAAATCAGAAAGGGAAAAGAACAGCAAAGCTCCCAGGGATCCCACCGGTGAAGCAATGAGGCCTGGGGAAGTTGTTCTCAGTTGTTGCAGTACATCCTGGTGAGAAGGCTTAGAGGTATTTAGCACAAGGTATTCAGGGAAGAGAAAGAGAAGGAAAGTATAGAGAGACAAGAAACTGAGTAATGAAGAAAGACAAAAAGGGAAAAAAAGGGAAAAGAAAATAAAACCAATTTAAAAAAACAAAGAACAAGAAGAGCCCCCAAAAAGCAGGAAAAAAAATACCCACAAAGAAAGAAACGCTCTCAGGGATCCCTCTGCGCACCTGCGCAAGCCAAGGGGTAGTTGCAAGACGCACAGCACCGCCTGGCCAGAACGGGCTCCCAACTCAAGAAAAGGAAAAGAAAACAAACAAACAATTCAAAACAAACAAACAAAAGCCCCGGGATCCACCAGTGCGGCAGCCCAGACCGGGAAGCAGTTCCACACTCGAATGGAGCTCCGCAGCCCCTCAGGAAGAATCTCAGAGCCAGGTATTTGAGCGAAAGGAGGGGGAGGTGGTGAGAGGTAAGGAAGAAATCAAAAGAAGCAGAAAAAAAGCAACACCAGCAGCCAACAAATGGCACTTAGAGAGCCGGGCAGTGTGGGTGAGTAGAATCCAAGCAGCCGGTGCTTCC